TTACCTGCAAAAAAAAAAAATCAAAAATGCATTCCAGGAAAATGTTATATGAACTTCTAATAAATTAAAATCTTTACTTTTATTTAAATTGATTTACCTTAATTAGAGTTTCAAGCCATTATTAAGTGCACAGGTAGCTCGTTTCCTTTGAACATGATTTGCTCTTTTCTACAATTTGTTTCAAAATTTAGCAATCTGTTTAAAACAGAAAAAACCAGAGCTTTTTCCAAGGAAAATAACTCCTTCAGTATGACAGGAAAGTCTCTGAGAGCATCTTTGTTAAGAGGGAATTAAACTAGCAGAGCATTTTAGAATTCAAGCAACAGGAAGTAATCGTTTTTACCTTCTTCAGTCTTGTTCCTGACTTTCCAAAAGAGAAAATGAATACCTATTTTTAGTCTAAAATACATAGCAGCCCTGTATTTTTTTCAACTCTTGAAAGAGCACTTTGGTTCTCAAAACCCAAAGGAACTCGGGCTTCACATATGTTCATTCACTTGACCTCAGGAGAGGAAATATGATTTGCACTTGTCCTCTAACTTACAAAGTCCTGCACTAGCAGGACATATTGAATACTATTAGGAAAAGAAAATTAAAAAAAATATGGAAAGTAATGGCTCACAGTGAGAAAAATAAAAAGGAAAAACATACTGGAAGTTATTTCACCCACTCTAATGTTTTTCATGTCTTTAAAACCTGTAAATGCTTTTTGCATTTACCTAGGTAAATCTAGATATACTTAGGGTCTTGATGAAACTCTGCAGCTTGATATGGTCCTGGAAGATTTGGGGGGTGAGTTGGGAATAAATAAGGAAGTAATTCAAGGTATAAAAACTTTAAAATACCTTTTGAAGGAATCAAACTACTTTCTGAAAGCAGGTTTTGTTTTTAAACTCAGTTCTGAATTGAAGCTGTCTAGGGAATGAGCAGTCTATTGGAACAACACTCTCCACAGAAAACCTTGGCTCTCACATTCCACCACAGGGCTGGGAGGCCACGTTCATGCCTCATTGGCTTTTTGTTCCTTCGTGCTTTTCTCTGTCCTGAGGTTGAAAGTAGACATTAAAAAGTAAAGTACTGATTCATAAAATGCTTAAATTCTACTGCAAGAACATAATTGCAGTTTCCCTGTCTTCAATATCCATTCCATTTCCACTCACAGATTTTTTAATTTCTTGACTGTCAACTATCTCTACCTCCATCAAGTACTGAAATCTGGCTTTCTGTCACTGTGAAAGATTGATCTCATACTTATGACCTGTAAAACATTTTATGCTTAATGGCCATCACTATACCCACAATATTTACCATGTATTCTGTTTTAGCATCTATTAGTCAATTTTAAAGAACATAATTAAGAACATTCTAAGACCTTGATGGCTCATCCTCAAGATGTGCAATCCAAAGCAACAGAAATGAAAACTTTCCTTTTAATTTATATTCATTTTTCCACTACAAAATTAATGAAAATTCACTATGATTGATGGTCTGGACTTTTGTTAGAACTCTTATCTTCATAAGCAGCTTTTTTGTCTTAATTCCTCTTTTAATGGCCAGTCTCTCTATCAAGATTTTCTGCTTTCATGGTTTTGTTGTTGTTTTGGTTTACTGGGTTTTTCTTTTTTTACACATTGAAGGAATCCTTCTGCTCATTCCTCCTCTACAATATTTGCTTTATCATGTGTCATGGGGTGATATTCCATGATCTTGAGTGATTGTTTTCAACTGCCCATATCACAAACATTGTTTTTACCTGAATATCTCTGAGAGGTCCATCTGACTCTCCTTTATGAATGTATTACACACTCGATGTGTTCAGACTTTGCAATTTACCCTCATAAAGCCCATCTGTGATACAGAAATATTATTGACATTTTACAATGGAACAGAAAACAAGTCAGCTTATTAATGTATCTAAATGCTTAAGAATGCCTTTTGGGATTTTCAAGGTTGCTCTGACATAAAACTCTTATTGAACTAATTGAAGATTTTTCACTAAATGCCTAATTTGCATTTTTAGTTTTCTGAAAAGCTTTAAAATCTGACTCACTCGTGTCACCCTTGAAATCCAGTGGACCAGTGTGTTAAACTCAGATCTCATTAGCCCTGGAACTCGTGCTGGAAGCATGTGCAGCACCCCCCAAGAGGAGGTGAAATATACTGAAAAACTGAAAAATAAAGATGTGGTGTGCAGCACAAGCATCCTGTCCCCTCCTGGCCTGAGTCACACGGACAGCAGGGAGCCACAGAGCCCAGTGCCTCAGGTGCCAGGTAAGGGAGGAGGGGATGTCCAGGGATCTGGGTGCTCCCTGCTGGGGCTGAGGGGCGCTGGGAGGCTGAGCTTGGACACAAACACAGGCTCAGCACCCCCTCAGCTCCCTCAGTTAGGGGTGGGTTTTTCTAACAAGTCCTGACAGAGTACAGAGCCACATCCACGAATGGCTCCAGCCAAAGGTGCTGCAGAACTGTCTGTACCCCACCATGTCACCGGCTTTAGGCACTTTATTTCAAAACACTTTTCAAAGCGTGGCCTCATGCATTAATTCCTGTACAACACCTAGCCCTGTACCTCATCAGATACTTTATCACGCACTTTTCTCCACTCTGGCGCTGTAGATCTTTTCAGATTGCTGTTTTGGGTGGCCTAAGAGCCAGTTGCTCAGTCTGACTAAAGCACATCACCTCCACAGCCGGGGGCAGGAAGCTGGAGCAAGGACAGCAGCGTCTCTCGCCTGGCTCTGCTAAGGAGACGCTGTCCTTCAGCACCACTTGTCTCCACATCCCTGCTTAGGCCTCTAGTGGCTGCAAAGGGAATGGATCGGGATATGGATAAAAAGCTTTTAAGGGCTTTTTAAGGCCATTTTGCCTTTGTTAAGTCAGTGAAACTCACGACATAAAGCAAGCTGGGTTTGGTCAGTGTGTTTACTGCCCTTTCACTGATTGCTTCATTTTGGAAGTCGTGTTCTTACAGCCCATAGCACCACAACTGAGGACCAGCTAATCAAACCACGTGGACAGCCATACTGGGATAATGAATACATTTTAATCACAGAAATACGAGATTAGGTAAATTAACAAATTCCTGACATGACTACCTCACAGAAGTATTTCCCAAGTCAGGGTTTCTGGGTAACAGGTTGCCTGCTAGACCCTCTGAGACCGGCTGCAGCTGCAAAAAATAAAAACGTTCAGGTTGAGGCCAATGGGAAGATGCTGCCTGCAGCATAATTGCTCACTGTTGTTACACATTGGCTGGCGAAGGTTAGGGACTGCTGCTCTGTGTAATCGAGCAGGTTTGCAACAACACCGGAAGGCTGTTGTGTAATAACAGTTCAAGCTAAACAGGTAGAAATAAACACACTTTTTTAAATTTTTTTTTTTTTTCATCTTTAGGCAGAGGTGATAAATTTTTACTGAGCACACCATGTTTTAAAATCACTCCCAAACAGATGCCAGGTACTCTTTTTGCCCGAGGCTGATAAAAAAAAAAAAAAAAAAAGCAGGTAGCTACTGAAAGAAATCTGAAAAGCTGTTATCCAAGTGGCGGAGGTTAAAGTCTCCATATGCATTTCAAGTAGTTTTGTATCCACAGCGAGCACTGATTCAAGCAGACGGCTTCAGAACCATGACCTGATACACAAATACGTGACTGATCCTTCAGTAAATGAAAATTACAGAAAATCACAGGTGTCTGTCATAAAAATTACTGCTTATATGAACAAAGTAATTAAATCTGCCTATATGAACCAAACAATTAAATTTGCCTACTTTTAAAGAATCCCTATCAAACATTGCATGAATCACTCCAATTTGAATATTTTAAGCAGCGAAAAGCCAGAACGGCTGCAAATAGCTTTGGATACAAGCAAACTGAATGATGGAAAATTCCTTATTCATTTATTGTGACAGCACATCTTTTTCCTCCAATGAATATTTTTTTAACTTAGTTTTACTTGTTTTCTCCAGGCCTTCAGCATATCCAAGGTTTTGTCAGGAAGTTGCACTCTGAGTGTTACTTCAGGCTACCAAATTACAAAAAAGTATTTAAGAACAGCGTGTCATTAGACTGCCCTATGCCAAATAGACTGATTTATCCCAGAGAATAATGAAGCAATGAACACTGTGCTGCAATGACTGGCTGATCTAAGAGCAGGGCATCTCAGCACTGCAAACCTTTATCAACTTCTGTCTTAACTCACTCAATTTCTCCTCATACTGAGCAAACTCAACTTCATGATGTAAAAATAAATGCAATAAGCTCCTATACTGGACTGCAGTTTGCCTTTCCCCTGCGTCCAGAGACAGATCCTCAATCTTTTCACGTTTCTGTGCATAAGGAGCTCAGCTTCCTTATGAGAAAGCTTCCTTAAGTTAAAGTTTTTAAGTAAGAGTGCTGTGCCACGATGCGGAAACCATTATCCTGACAAACACACAGAAACCAACCCAGCGTACATCCTGTCAGACCTACAGCCCGCACATCTGCTACAGAAATGGGAGGAATAGTCTTTTTTAGCTCGTGACACACGGAACTGGGGAGTTGGGTTAAATCGCGTTCCAGTTAAAGCGACCTTCACCCCGAGGGCTGGGAGGGCCGGGGGAGCAGCGGGGCAGCCCCGGGCCCTGCAGGGAGCGGCTCCGGCTCCGGCCAGGGCGGCTCCGGCCGGGCAGAGGCCGCGCAAAGTTGCGCTCCCGCCCCGCGCTGCCGCACCCGCCGGGGGCTCGGGGAGCGCTGCGGGCTCGGGCTCCGCATCTCCCCCAGCGCTAAAACCCAGCCTGGCGCCACCGAGCCCGCACCGGCGTCCATCCCCCGGGCAAACCCCCTCAGCCCCGCAGCGTCCCCCCCGCCGCCTCCTTCCGCTGCCGGGCACCCCCGCCGCGCCCGCAGGCCTCTCCCCGCCGCTCCCGCCCGCCCGGGGATGCTCGGGGCAGCTCGCTCTCCTCCCGCAGCCGGGTCCGGGGGGAGCCGCCGGTGCCCGCGCCCCCGAGGGCGGCGGCCGTACCTGAGTCGCTGAGGCGGGGCCGGGCTCTGTCCCGCAGGTAGTAGATGAAATCCCGGCAGTTCTCGTTCTCCACCGCCCCGACGGAGCACAGCTCGGCCAGCAGCTGCAGCGCTTTCTGGCAGATCTCGTCCTCCCTGTCGCCGGGCATCGCCCCGCAGCATCCTCGGGAGCGGAGCGGAGCCCTGCGGTCAGGCGCCGCGCCGCTGCCCGCCGCCCGCCTGCGGCCGCCGCGCCGCCGCCCGCATCCTCCTCAGCCGGCGGCGCCCGCCCCGCCGGGCCGGGCCGAGCCGAGCCGGGCCGGGCCGGGCCGGGCCGGGCCGCCCGCCGCTGCCCCCGCTGCCGCGGCCGGGGCCGCACGGGGGTCCCACCAGTTGAACGCGAGGCCCGGGAGCGCCGGCGCCGCGGCCGCCCAGCCGCGCTGGCGCAGCGCTGCCGGCGGGGGAGCGGGCGGGAGCCGCCGCGCCCCTCTCCGCCCCGGGGGCAGGGACTGCCCCGCGGCCCGGCCGCCGCCCCGGCACACGCCCGAAACTTCAGAGGCGGAGCAGGGGCTGGCGGAGCAGGGGCTGGCGGAGCGCGGGTCCTGACGGGCAGCGCCCCGACCCCCGCCTCCCCATGGCGGGCAGGGCAGGCCCGGCCCTTGGCCCGCTCGTCCCGGGCCGTGCGCCCTTATGTCTCGGGAGCGATCCCGGCTTCTCTCGGGAGCGATCCCGGCCGCTGTCGGGAGCGATCCCGCTCGCTCGGCTGCCTGGCTGCCAATGCCTCGCTATCCGGAACGCGCGCCCTCACAGTCGGGAGGGGAAAATGTTGGCGATGTATCCCGGGCGCAGCGGCCGTCTCGGTTCGGCACGTTCCTATTGACGGGTTAAAAAGAGTTAAAGCGCGGCTGGGAAAGCTCAGGCGGCTGAGACCCAGCCATAGCTGGAGGGGAGGGCAGGAGAGCCTTCCCGGAGGAGGTGGGGGCTGAGGAGATGTCTGCCATTAGGCATGTTTATCCTGACAAGTAGGAGATTCGTAAGGTGCCGCTTCGCTTTCTGGGCTTGTAGGCTGGGAGGCTGGTGGGTGTCATGAGGGGAAAAACTGAGAACTGGCTGCTCCATTTAACTTCATTTTTTTTCCTCTCTCTCTCTCCCTTTTATAATAGTTTAGGCAAATATCAAAGGCCGCGGTGAGCTCAGAAAGTTCAGACTGGTGTGGATGTTCAGCCTCCTGTTTAGAGACTGCTGATAACCGTTCTAGAAATAGCATCATCTTCTAGTAGAAGCTTTTTTTTCTTCTTAAAGCAAAAAGTATATCATCGGAATGAGATGCATTTTGGGAAAGGAGAGGGTATTAATCAGAAAAGTTGTTTACTTGCCTCCGAGTGCTTTGGCGACATTGCTTATGTCTGAAAGGCATTCCCCCCTCCACCCCCCCTTTTTAATAGAAAAGTGATGTCTGTAAAACACGATTGTATAAGCCAGGCATAATTCCACCAGTAATCAGGCGACTCACTCGGGCTGCCTTGTCGTTGTTAAGCATTAATAATAGATAATAAAATAGCGTGTGGCTGTTACAGTTGTTACCACTGTAATCATATTTTTGAGGGACGGAGATTTTGATCACATCAGTATATGTTTTCACATCTAATCGTGTGAAACTCTCCACTAGTCTCAATAAATGCCACAAAAATATTCATCTTGATGCTGGAAAAACCAATGTCATTTGTTTGCTTCTCCAAGCATGCAGGGAGAAAGACAATTTGTAAGAGGTGCTGTCAGTCACAGCACTTTCTCTGAAACTAAGGATCAGGCTTCAGCAGTCCTGCTGCTTAACCTACTGCAGTGAAGAAGGGACAAATTTTAAAGAACTTGGTAGAGCTAGAGGTACCAGAATGTCTTTTAGGGAAAAACAGGTTCAGGAGGGCTATCCGATTATTCATATGTATATAAACTCTCTAGAGGCAAAAACTTTCTAATTTGTAACACAAAATCAAGTCCAGGCCAATGCTGGTGATATGTCCAGAAGGAGAGAGGACAGAGAAGCTACTGAAGACTGTTACTAACAGAGATATCTGCAAACTACAAAGTCCAGTGATCGTGTATGACCAGATTTTGAATTACTGTATATGATTTCACCATCATTTTAATATCATTTTACATATTATTTGGCTATAATTTGGTAGTTTGGCACTGACCAAGACGGCTGTGCTGTTCTATAGCTTGACCTCTGTCCAGGACAGACAAATACATCAACTGCAAAGTGATATTAATGCATTTACCTGAGTGTGGCTTTTATCCTGTGGGACCACAAGCTCATTGCTAGCATGGGATTTGGGTTTGCTGCAGAGTGAGCTCTGGACAGCCTGGTGATGAAGCAGTAATTTCTTTATCCTTCTATAACTAAAGTCTTGCTTTGTTGTGTTTTAAATAGAAGCAATTTGAAGGTGCTGAGATGTTTGTGATACAGGTGCTTGGAGATGGAAAATTTTTAGTGTGGTGGAGGAGAGAAACTATTTGGACATCACTGCTTGTAAACAAAGGCATCTATTCTCCAAAGCTCTGAGCTCTAAGTGCACTGTGTGAGCAAATGCCCATGTCTCTGGAGATAACAGCAGTCAATGTAATCAGCTGTGTCTCAAAGCAAGTGCAACATTTCCTTCCTGATCTTGCCTGTGAGAACAGGGTTATATCTGCCATTTTGTTATCGTTGATTGCATGTTTGTCTTCTTGCAGGCACTCCTAGTTTACTCCTGTGTCAGCTGCAGATTTCCCCAATCGAGGGGACCATATTGTGTTTGAGATCCCTAATGAATGCTGCACTAATTAACTTTGGTCCTAGAAAGTCACTGAGTGATGCAGTGGGATGCTCTTATTAACCTTATCCTGAGAGTTCCAATCTGTACTGACCACAGTAGGTCTATTTTGTTTTGTTTAGCTCAGAGCTCACACAATACAGTGTGCTCAGAAGTTAGGGAAAAAAAAATCCCCAAGCCTGCTACACACTCAGAATAAGTTTGACTGTTTGACCTACAACAGTTCTGTCATCATCAATTGACACGTTTGTCTTTCTTTTCTTGAATTAAAGCTTTTTCCCAGTGTTCTGGCAGCAACACAAGGATTGCTGGCAATGAAGTCACCTTCAAAGCTGAGGCATTCATGAAACAAATGGATTTCTGGAAGCAAGTAAGGCAGCTTGCATCAGGGTTTTTGTTATGGCTATGCTGCAACCAGAACTTACCAAGTATTTGTGTTGAGTGTTTATAATTGCTGGAATTATATTTGCCCATTCGGGCACAGCTCATCATGGGAGTATCTTTTTCTTTAAAAAAAGGGAGGAAGGTATTTCAGGAAATCAAGAAAACATAGAGCAACTGAGTCACTAATGGAAAACAAGATTTTTTTCACCCCAAGAAATGAAAGTTTGTGATTCTGTAGTTCAATAGGAGGGGAAAATGGCTGAAAACAAGAACATTGCTGTAGTTAAAGGAGGCCATTTCACCAAAAACAGTCACCTGTAGTCCAGGCTGGAGAAAGAAATGCCATCATAGGCTCAAGGATTGATACATCTATCAAAAATCTTTCTGTTACTGGTTGTGCCAGACTTTTTGCCTCACTCTCCCTCTTACATACAATTACCCTTGTATTCTTAATGAATATATCTTGTACTGCTGCTGAAAAGTAGAAAATGCTTAGGTAAACATACAAGAAATGGAATTCTAAGTAACTGCAACTGGGTGGGGGGGTTGAGATGATGCTTTTCTGAGCAGTGTCATTCTTCAGATGAGATAGTTATTCTTCACAGAAAGTTTTAGGGCAGGTTAGTTAGAAAATAAGTATTTCCCCATTTGGGCTTTCCCTCATCATTGACTTCTAGAGGTCATATGGAAATAGGTTTGTGTTAACTAAAGGGAAGGTGGCATCATTACTTTGATGATGTTAGCATGAAAAAATAGCTGTCCTTAGTACATTGAGTACAATGGAGTCATTTGAAGACTTTGACATCAGAATTACATGCTCTGATGAAAGAAAGTATAGCAGTGTATTTTCATTATGGTTTTTATAAAATCTTAGGGCTTTTTTTTTGAACTCCTGTCATTTATTGACATCTGCTCACATTTTTAAAACATAATGCATGAAACAAGTGTTAAATGCTAGGATAGTACTGATCTTTGTATTTTCCTCTGCAGGAGGCCTGTGAGCTGTTCCCATGCCAGAATGAGTAAAATGTCATTTGGGGGTTTTCTGAGTGATGGCAGGGAGCTTCCTCACAGCAGGTCCTGAAGGAAGAGCAAAGTGTCCCTCGTGAGCAGAGGAAAAGTGTGTCAAAGCTCTGAGATGGCATCAAATGTCACCAGAACTGTGCTGTACCAGAGGATTAGGAGTGTACAGCCAATGTCCTGATACAACTGGGACTCAGCCATGTTTTACAGAGTGAGCTGAAGGGGTGTGGATAATGAATGAGTTGTCTGAATGAAGGTTATGAGCAAAAACAAGACTGCAGCTCATCGGTGGGATTTTTTTGTTCCTTTATTTTTCTCTTGTTCTTTTCCCCAGGTTGCCATTGGACAGAACTTTACTGCCTAAGGAAAGTTGCAAGCTCTGAGTAGGAGATCCTGCCCAGAAGACTGTAAACAGCTTAACATGAATACAAGCTCTTTGCTATGATGGACAACTTTCATGACCTCTTTATAACAGATTACCATTTTTTTTCTTGATCTTTGTACCATTCACATTGTTAATAGAGAGTACTCTGGGTGCTGTAGCTTGTCACATGCAATTTTAATCTATCTTAAGAAGGCTTCCTTAAAACTTGAGAAGGAGGGAGGGAAACACATCTCTTCTGATTTGCCTTCTAATTTGACAATCTCTTCCTTGACAGCTTTTGCTAACTCTACTGGGAGAAAAAAAGAGAAGTGTACTGAATAATTCAGCCTTGAGAGTGAATTGAGCTTGAGGAGAATTGTTGAATTCCCAAGTCTGTGGTTTGTGGTTTTTGTTATTGACTGCTCACATGGATTTAAAGTCCTGTCTCTGCAGTCAGTGGTTTTTATCTCCCCTTTGGATTCTGCAATTTTGTCTGGCTTTCCATCCCTGAACACCAGCTCTCTGTTCTTGCAAATAAACACACAAGAACCATTGAAGGACTTTCCTGCTTCCAGGGGGAACCATAGATAGCCTGCTACACTAATAAATCAGGATT